CCGTAAACTACCCCTGCGGCCCGGAACGATACGGCAACATAGCCCGTCCCCGAATTTCAACGTCGGCCGTGGGGAGTCACAGGTTCCCGGAAATCCAAACGGGGCGGAAAAACCCCGAGCGTGGTGGTTATTTCGGGGGCAAATGGGGGGAGCGGGGGGCGGGGGGCGGGGGTGGGAGTGGGGGCCGCCGTCGAGCCTCCGGAAATTAGCAGCGTCTTCGCCGCTTCGACACCGCAAAAACGGCGAGGATGTTGCGCTCTGATAGCAAATAATCCCAACTTTTCGGCGGAATCAAGCGCGGACAACGGAATAATCTCGCCGGAGCCGGCAAACTGGAGCCTCGGATCGTGAAAAGGCGTAACTGCGCCTCCGAGCTGAGCCCCGCTCTGCCGTGTCGAGTAAAAACGCCGTATGACCATTCGAACGTTGCCAAACTTCCTCATAGAAAATATTTATTTTTTAAAGAAATTATGAATATTTCCCCTTGAAATTTTCAGACTTTACAGATCAAATTACGAGTGAAATCTTGTAAAAAATCGGGAGAGAAATGTTCATAAATTTTCCCTGAATTTCATGATTTGTCGGGGGAAATTTGGCAACGCCTGATGGTTTACACACCGTTCTCCCACAGTGTGTCAGCGCTGGCCATGTAACTGCGATAAATTCCGAGGCTAATAAGGGTTCGTAGTTACGAGCTCTTAACGTCGCGCTGCTATCATAAAGGCATATCTCAATTTCCACTTGAGCTCTGTTTTACATATAATTCCATGCTCTCTGGGGCTCATGTGGGAATAGAGATGGGCCCTTACGTGAGAGGCACGAAGTTATGAGCGGCGAGGCTGGCTGTGTCTGCGGCGAGCAGTTCAAACATGAGCACCGTCGGGAGTCCCCCGTTGCATAGGCGGAAACATCACGAGCAGGCGGAAAGAGGCGGAAAGAGGAGGAAAGAGGCGGAGGAGGCGGAAGAGGCTCCAGGGAGCTCGATCCTTGGGAAATGAGTGTCGTCGGTTTGGAGGTGTTCACGGCCTTCCGACGGCGGCCGAATGTTTGCGATAGGTTCTAATATCGTCGCTCCTCTGACGTGGGGGCGGATTTCTATTTCAACATGAGCCGTGGAAAGTATGGAATGGACCACTAGACAAGGTACGAATTTCAGCATTCTGATAATGTTTCCTAACCAAAATTTCACGTAGAACACGATACGCACAACGAAAATTACCGAAATTAACTCTTTACGAAGATATTTAATGATTCTTGATGCGTGAATTCAAACCACCTGCTCATGAAAACTCAATGCTCTACGTGATTCACATCGCGCGCTAAACGTTATCATGATAGTCTCTGCGATATAAAAATCTGGCAACCTCAATCTTGACGCTTTGGCTCAGTTATAGCAAATTGCTAATAGTTTGAACAACACATGGTGGGAAATGAACATTGCTCGATTGAGAAGCTTGCTGAAACCGTTGCAGTGGGCGATTTGACTCACGTAGAGTTTTGAGTTTCTTGTGAGCGGGCAGTTCAAATTCCTCGTAACCAATGTGAAATAAAAACGTCAATACCTTCGTTAGGAGTTGGTTTCAGTGATTTTCGTTGGGTGAATCGTTTTCTACGTGAAATTTTGGTGAAGAAGCATGTCTCAGATTGCTTAAATTCGTACCTTGCTTAGTGGTCCATTATGCGAGGAACAGGGATCACACGAAAATTGAGGTACGGCCTTGCCCCTTGCGTCCGATATAAGGGGGCTGACCTTGTCTGGACGGCCTCGAGTTCATCAAAAAGAGGCTTTTGCATGCAAGGTTGTTCTTTTGTGCGCAACACGGGAGGAAAAGTGTTAGGGGCTATCACCGAAATTTGGACAGCATTAAGAAAACAGGAACACTTCTGCAAGGCACTTCTCCTTCAAATTATTGATTATGCAATAAATGATCCGGAGAGTTTGAATAGTTGTATTCTAAATTTTCACTAAGTCTACGGCAGGCGCAGTCGTTATTCCGATTGCCTTTTCGGTGTATCGAAGGCCGGATCGACCTGTGATTTTGACAAACTTTGGGATACGTACGGGTCCACTTTAGAATTTTTAAAAATTTCATATTCGAATGCTATCTCTTTTTACATTGTTTGTATTAACGAAGCATTATGATGGCCTTTACAAGAATTTACAGCCAAAGTTTGGCCGTTTAATTGTACTCGAGGGTCGTAAAAACTGTCGTTTAAATTTATGTTTTTTGGGGGGGTCTTTTTAATCCGTATGTAAACCGTATGTTCAGGGGCTTCCCGGTAAAAGGAGCTGTTCCGAGAGCGACTATGCATGAGCGCGAAACACTCGAAGAATAGGCTGCGTTGCACCCTTAAGTGACCTCTTCCCTATGTACACCAGCTTAGGACTTAAAAACTCATGAAATTCGCAAATCCTTATCAATCCTTCCGTGCTGATCCGTAAAAATCAAGCGGTTTTATTCCGACAAGCGATGTCGTGTCTTTCACCCGGCGGTAACTCATTTTTCTCAAATCATTTTCCCCTACTATTTGTTTTCCTTACACTTTTCTACTACCCTTTTTTGTCCCATTGCAGTTAGTCGTACGAGTGAGATGTCCTTCTGACTTTTCCATACGAGAATTCGTCCTAATCTCAATTGTACTCAATTTTCTTAAAATTGCAATTTTAAAAAATCAAAATGACTCGCAAGTTAAATATATAAACTCAAATACATGGAGCTGTCTCCTAGGAACCAATGTAAACTGCTAAGGTAGGTTGAGAGCTGTTCTCTCTGCACTAAGTACGCATGTTTAAGTTTCAGTTGCAATTAGGATAAATATCTTAAGAAAAAAAGCCTGTAGGACATCTCATCCGTCGGACTCACTGTAATATGACAAAAAACGAGTTGATTAAAAGTGTTAGAAAAATTAGTCGTGGGGAAAAAAATTTAGGACAAAGGACCCTTCCACTCAACATCGATTTGCGATAATACGGTAATCCTACGATTGCGACTAGGTTATCGCGGGAACTTGTGCAAACTGGAGCATTATTAATTAATTTGAGCCTGTGAAATATCGGTAGATGAGTAATTAATTCCCCCTTAAGGTGCCACATCGTCTCCCTCAACTTCAGTCAGGATTTGCTCCGCAGTCACAGATGCAGCGTTGCCGCATCTCAAAAGACGATTTCTGCAGCTCCGCCGTAAACGGATGATGAATGATGCTCGTCCTTGTGAGGACGGACCTTAGAAAATGGAGTTGTTGCATGTGTGAGGAATTTGCGATTTGACTGTTGTTTCTTATGTAAAAGTTCGCGAGAAACACGACGGTACCACTGGTTTTCTCTGAAATCAACTCCCAAGCTCAAAAAAAGCTCTCAAGTTGAGGCCAAAATGGAGGGTGTATCCCACGCTATCCTGAGAGTCCACCTCTACATCAAGACAATCTCTCCATGCAAAGATAGGGAGCAAATACATTGACAGGGCTGCCACTTCATTTGGGGACTCCAAAACTGAAAACACGGCACCCTGCTAATGTATTTCCTCCCTATCTTTGCATGGAGAGTTGGTCTTGATGTAGAGGTGGACTCTCAGGATAGCGTGGGATATCCCCTCCATTTTGTCCTCAACTTGAGAGCTTTTTTTGAGCTTGGAAGTTGATTTCAGAGAAAACCAGTGGCACCATCGTGTTTCTCGCGAACTTTTACATGAGAATCAATGGTCAAATCGCAAATCCCTCACACATGCAACATCTCCATTCAAGATGTCTAATTTCCGTCCCATTTCTTTTTTTAAACCACTCATCTAACGTCTTGAAACTCTCTGTAAATATCCATTAATGTGTAAAAACTCGACGTTGAAACTACCAGACCACGTATATCAGTTTCCGACGTTGCAGACTTCCCCCCATACTCTCTTTTTCAAATGGGAAACCACTCGACGTCAATTTCATGAAGTTAAGGCTGTTCGGGGGGAAGGGGGGGGGGGGCTTGGGATCCACGTATAGAAACGTGCGAGACCATAACGGACCACTAGAGTAGGTATGAATTTCAACATTCTGATACATGTTTCTTAACTAAAATTTTACGTAAAATACAACGCGCACAACGAAAATTACCGAAATCAACTCCTTCCAAAGATATTTAATGATTCTTGATGCGTGAATTCAAACCACGCGCTCATGAAAACTCAATACTCTGCGTGATTCACATCGTGCGCTAAACGTTATCATGACAGTCTCTGCGATATAAAAATCTGGCAACCTCTATCTTGACGCTTTGGCTCAGCTGTAGCAAATTGCTTATAGTTTGAACAACATATGGTGGGAAATGAACATTACTCGATTGAGAAGCTTGTTGAAACCGTTGTAGTGCGCGCTTTGACTCAGGTAGAGCATTGAGTTTCTTGTGAGCGGGCAGTTCAAATTCCTCGTAACCAATGTGAAATAAAAACGTTAATATCGTGGTTTGGAGTTCGTTTCATTAGTTTTCGTTGCGCGAATCGTGCTCTATGTGTAGTTCTGGTTAAAAAACATGTATCAGAATGCTTAAATTCGTATCTTGTCTAGTGGTCTATTCGTCTCATTTTTATGTTACTGATTGTGAGTTTCAGTAGCACCAGGAATTTTGAGTAGACTAAAATTTAAAAAAAAAAAATAGTTTTTTTTGAGATACCCCAGTCTCCATTCCTTTTGCTTGATTCTTTTGAGTTTACAACCGTTGGATTAAACCTATTAGAAGCAAGAAGGTATATTTCCATCACTTATTTTCGCCTTTTTGCTGTCCCTATGACGTAAGGGCGTATCTCAATTTGCACGTGAGTCCTGTTCTACGTGCAAGTCCATGCGTTCGGGGTCTCATGCAGAAATCGAGGTACGCGATCAAGTCAGAGAGGCGAAGATTTTTACACTCGCCATCAAAGTTTTGTTCCAACCCAAAAGCACCTTACTTCGGCACTTTTAACCATTAGCTAACCATGAGCTTAAACCATTCAGAAAGGTACGATTAAAATAAAATTACATACCGATCAGCAGTAGACAGCTCAGTGGAGACGATTCTGAAAAGGAAGCAAAAGAAAATATTATTATCTAAACCAAGGCACCGAAAATTCTTGCGAAAGTAAAATTTTGTGCAGGGATGAGTAGAGAGTGAGCTACAGACTGGTTAGGGGAAATGCACCACTGCACTCAGGAAAAGATGATTCACTATTACAAGAAACCGATTTCTTGATAGTTTTCCGCTGTATTTAGGAAAATACTATCGTTGCATCATGGAATCTATTCATTGCGCTAAGCAGGGATGCAGAAACTCCTTAGCCTTCCCATTTTTAAAATGTATCTTCTCTCTGTAAAAACCACTTTTTCCACATACATAGAGTGTTCAAAAAGTTTTGCACACTTCCGGATTTTGAGCGAACGAAAGCAGCTATCGATTTGCCGTTTATGTGTGCTTAAAGTAAACGTAATTATCAATATAACAAGACCAAGAACAACTCTCTAGCTTAAAAAATGACAGAGATACAGGGTTTTGTAAATGACATGTGGCGTGACCGCCTCTAGGATTTTTAGCTACAAATATGTTTATCAAGGGAAAAAAAGTTAAATGAGCATTGAGTGTTTTTATTGACAAAACTTACAAAATCTCACGGAAATTGACGAATTTCAAGTTTCTTCATCGGATGACACGGATGACTCAACATTCGGCTGTTTTTCGAAGTATTTTCCACCACTTTGAACATAAAGCTTCAGCCGCTCTGCCCTCTTCACAAGGATCGTCTTTTCGAAGTCCTCTTGACGGAGGGTTTTGAAGCATTTTTGAATAGTGGTTTTGATCTAGGCTATGGAATCAAACCGTGTGCCTCTCAGAAATTTCTTTGACTCAGGAAAGAGCCATTCCAAAGCCAAGATCAAAACCGCTGTTCAAAAATGCTTCGAAACCCTCCGTCAAGAGGACTTCGAAAAGACGATCCTTGTGAAGAGGGCAGAGCGGCTGAAGCTTTATGTTCAAAGTGGTGGAAAATACTTCGAAAAACAGCCGAATGTTGAGTCATCCGTGTCATCCGATGAAGAAACTTGAAATTCGTCAATTTCCGTAAGATTTTGTAAGTTTTGTCAATAAAAACACTCAATGCTCATTTAACTTTTTTTCCCTTGATAAACATATTTGTAGCTAAAAATCCTAGAGGCGGTCACGCCACATGTCATTTACAAAACCCTGTATCTCTGTCGTTTTTTAAGCTAGAGAGTTGTTCTTGGTCTTGTTATATTGGTAATTACGTTTACTTTAAGCACACATAAACGGCAAATCGATAGCTGCTTTCGTTCGCTCAAAATCCGGAAGTGTGCAAAACTTTTTAACACCCTATGTAATTTCACAGAAATGACTTTTCCCCGCTCTGCACATATGCATTTCCGCAATTTTGCGAAAAACACGTGATTTTTACCTGGATATCGTGGCGGGGGCGCGAATTTTGCCACGGTTGGTGGAGACCATTAATGATCAGAAAATATTCATCTTGATCGCTGAAAATACGCGAATTCCATGTCAATGGGAGCATAATTTTTAGGAACGTCGTAAATTCAAATAGGGGAAAAGCTATGACTCTCCTTCAATTTGGCGTGATACCACATTCCTACTCTAGTGTGCGAATAGTTGCTCGCTTGAATTCCGCGTGGTGTTATAAAGTGAGAGATTCCGCGAATTTCATCTCAATATCGCGAGAAGCACGAGATACTTGTACCGCATTCGTAGAATTACGGATTATTACGCACTTTTCATCTCGGTATTGGGCAAAGTGCAGTTTTTATCTGGCAATCTAATGCAAAACAATTACTTAGAAATTACGCGATGATCACCGCAATATCGCGGCAACTTTGAGATTGTTCCGGCGGTTTTTTAAAATGACTGTAAATCACGCGTTATTCACCTCAATATCGTGGTGGGGGCGCAAATTTTACATTGGTTGATAAAGGCCATTGATGATCACAAAATATTCATCTCAATCGCTGAAAATACGCGAATTCCATATCAATGCGAGCATGATTTTATGAACGTCGTAAATTCAGATAGGAGAAAAGCTATGATTCACCTTCAATTTCTTGTGATACCACATGCCTACTCCGGAGTTCGAACAGTTGCTTGCTGGAATTCCGCGCGTTAAAAAATGAGAAATTGCGCGTGTTACGTCTCTATATCCGCGATTTCCGGGACCTTTCCGGCGGATTCTTTAAGCCAAAGGAAATTACTCGCTTTAAATCGTGGTATCACGAGGATGGGCGATTTTTCCGGCGATATTGTAGAAAAAATGAGAAACGGACGTATTTCTGTCAAACGGAACTTTGTGCATTATGACATGAGCCCTGTTATGCATGTATTCTCATGGGTCTCAGGGCTCATGTCTTAACGCACATAGTTCCGTTTGGCAGAAATACGTCCAAATAACGCATTATTCGACGCAATATCGCGGTAAAAACGCGATTTTCCCAATGATTTTGTAGAATCGTTCAGAGCTACTCGTTATTCACCTTTATTACGCGGCATATAGGCGAGGCTTCTGGCGGTTGATTAAGATCGCAAAACGCACAAGATCTTCGCGTCAATATCGCGGATATTACGCGAATTATACATCGATGCGAGTAAAATATTCATAAACATCACTAACTTGAGTTATGCGAAAAGCTAAGATTTTCCTTCAATTTCCTTTGATGCCACATACCTACGAAGGAGTCTAAATGATGTGCTTGCGGGAATCGCCACAACCGCATTAGCAACGGGAACAACTAGTCGGATTAAAATTCCCTAACTTTTCATCGAAATTCCCTGTCATTCCCTAATTTCTACCCGTGTTTACGAATTTCCTGACGGTGCTTGGTTTCACAGATTTTCGCATCCGCATTCTTTACAAAATCGCTGAAAAATTGCTAGTTTCCGCGCTACTGCACTGGAAAAAAAAAAAAAAAAAAAAAAAAAAAAAAAAAAAAAAAAAAAAACACACATTGGATCTAGATGAGCCCAGACTCTTGAAAACATTGACAAGAAAAAATACTCTTGATTCAATCAGATTTTTGCTTAAATCAAAAGGAAATCCGCTCAAATTGAGAGGCTTAATTCTTGATTTAAGCTTAAATCTGATTGAATCAAAGAGTATTTTTTCTTGTCGATGTTTTTAAGAGTCTGGACTCTAGATCCAATGTGGTTTTTTCCAATGTGGGATGAAAACCGAGTGTTTTCTTGTAATTATAAGAATCTGGTGAAAAAATCGTATACTACTCGCAATGTTGCGATGAAAATCGGGTGACCTCTCACTTTTTTACAAAACCGCTGCACAAATTTAATGATGAGTGTCGGGCGGTGTTATGCTCGCCTCGTTAAATGAGGAAATCAAGCGCACAACTTTTCAAACTCCGGAGTAGGTATGTGGTATCCCGCGAAAATGAAGGAAAATCTCAGTTTAATGGCTGTCTCAAATTACTGAAGTTTTCACATACTACAGTCCTGCTATCCAAACCGCGTATTTTCCGCAAGCCCGACACATCTCATCTCGTGCCCTGGTACCAGCTTTTGAGTCTGGGCCCCATGACTGCCGAACCCCCCTCCCCTCCCCCTCCCCCTTTACCGCAAGAAAAACAATTTGTAATATCATGAAAATTAACATTGTTAGAATAAAAATATAAATTAAATAAAGGCTCATTGCATTTCAGGAGATTAAAAATATCATTCTATACTAAAAAATCTTAAAAAAATATATAAATCTTCTGAGAAGTAAAAAGAGTTCTACACTTCCAGCGTGTTTTTGAAAATGTATTCACCTTTCGCGAAATTATCGGGGGAAAATGTTCTCTTTTTCCTTACAAGACGAGACAATCACTGGAAAAAAATCACATTGGATCTAGATTCCAGACTCTTGAAAACATTGACAAGAAAAAATACTCTTGATTCAATCGGATTTTAGCTTGAATCAAAACGAAATCTGCATTAAGAGGCTTGGTTCTTGATTTAAGCTAGATTCTGATTGAATCAAGAGTACTTTTTCCTGTCGATTTTTTTAAGAGTCTGGACTCTAGATCCAATGTGTTTTTTTTTTTTTTTTTTTNTTTTTTTTTTTTTTTTTTTTTTTTTTTTTTTTTTTTTTTTTTTTTTTTTTTTTTTTTCCAGTAAGGGTTACATAAATGAATACCTATCAATTTAATTGGGTTCAGAGGGATATAATTCTTTAAGGAAAATATATCAAAAGTTACGTTTTTTGTAGAGATATCATTTAAAACATTACTAAATATTCGAGAGGAACATTATACTGCTTATCAAAAGAAAGAAAAAAATTGTTGTATACGTACCAGCAGTAGGTTATCCAACTGCCCGACGCCAGGCTGAAAGCACTCACAACACTGTCACTGAAACTACACTAAAAAAATTGCCCATTATTTAAAAGATTAAAGTAGTACTAAAAAAATTGCCCATCATTTAAAAGATTAAAGTAGTACTAAAAAAAATTGCCCTTTACTTAAAATATTAAAGTAGTATTAATGTAGGATGAGAACACGGGCTCACTGCAGAGTGAACAAATCATAGGATAAACTATTCTGATTTCAATTCTGTCCATGTTAGGTTTTCCAAACGTATCGTGTCTTAAAATCGTTAGCTTTATCTCTATAATATAAAAATGTATGCGAGTAATGCGTACTTGACGCTAAATGCCTGAGGCGCAAAGCGCTTCGGGGGGTTGCACCGCGAAGCGGTCCGGGTAACCTGGAATGGTTCAACGCAGCAATTAAAAAAACAAATAAGTTTATACAAAATTTACCAAAGCATATTATACTCAACAGAAATTTTAGATTAAAATAAGAAGATTGAACACTTTACATACTAAAAGCAACTTGTCTAGGAGGTAAATGGCGCTAAGTTCCACATCCGATGATGAACCTGAGTCGTTTAAATGAATTTTTTTTTTTTATTGCTCTCATCGGAAAAGGGGATTAAAGTTCTTCCAACTCAACTCATAGCTATTGGACTGCGTTCCACAGTTCTGTTGTCTCTCTCATCACAAAATTCAAAGTAAAAGTTCTTGCAACTCAATCTCGTAAAGATAGCTTTCCGTTCCACACCACTTTCATCTTAGTTCATCACTTTACATACTGATAACAACATGCTTGGATGATGAATGGTGCACACTTCCATATGTGATAATGAATCTAAATCTTTGAAATCAACCTTGGTCTCTAGTCTCTCTCATCGGAAAATGAAGTATAAGTTCCTCCCACTCAACTCATAAATATTGAACCTTGTTCCACTGTTCTCTAGTCTCTTTGATCACAAAATTTTACTCGTAAGTAAAAGTTCTGGCAACTCGATCTCATAAATAATTTCTTTCCTCTCCACGCCACCTTCGTCTTAATTCATAACTTTGCATACTGATAAGAACATGCTTCTTGGATGGTGAATGGCTTACACTCCTCCATCGAGTAATGAATCTGAGTCTTTGAAATCAATTTTACTCTCTTCTCTTTCATCGGAAAATGAAGTAGAAGTTCTTCCAACTCAAATCATAGGTATTGGACTTCGTTCCACTGTTCTCTAATCTCTAGTCTCTAGTCTCTAATCTCTAGTCTCTAGTCTCTCTCTCATCACAAAATTATAGGTAGAATTTCTTTCAACTCGATCTCATAAAAATAGCATTTCGTTTCACACTACCTTCGTCGCAGTTACATACGTAGTTTACATACTGATTACAATATGTTTAGAATATGATCGGCGCATGTCTTTACATCTGATGGTGAATCCGAGTCTTTGACACGGAAAAAACAAGACTAGTGTTGAGCACTACTGGCCGTTTAGTGGGGAGTAGTTGAGGGCTGGCGTCTAAGCGCTGTACAGCTCAACATCGGAAGGCAGTACCAGTGGGCACTGAACATGAGTAGTGCTAATCAGATGCCGCGAGACGTAGTTGCGCTTAACAGGTGTAAATTCACCCGTTAGACGTCGGGGTCACAATAGCCTGGTGGTAACGCGCTGGTCTTCCACCGGCGCAACCCGAGTTCGATCCCAGGCGGAGGCGTTTCAGATTTTACGCTCGCTCCAAAGTCACTTTAGGGCTTGACACTACTTTTTCCTTAGTGACCCAGCCTCGAGCTGTTTAGTGCCCAGCACTCCTCTGACTTGCTGGCTCCATTTGATCTAACCCTCGTTAGTGCCCAGCACTAACATGTAGGTCCCAACCCTAAGCTCGTTTTTTCCGTGGAGATTCAGGTTTAATCTCTTATCTCTCTCATCGGAAAATGAAGTAAAAGTTATTTTCCCTCAACTTATGATCATAACTTTTCGTACTTTAGTCATTTCGTCGTGGTTTATTACTTGACATTTTAGAAATAGTATATGTAGATGGTTAATGGTGCACCATTCCGCAACTAGATTAAAGTAGTTTCTACCTATATTGATACATAGTTTCTACGTGTATTGATATATATATTCTACCCTAAGAATGAGAGGTAAAAAATGAGAGGTATGGGATGAGAGGTAAAGGATGAGAGGTAAAGAATTAGAGGTAAAGAATAGGAGGTAAAGAATAGGAGGTAAAGAATAGAAGGTAGATAGAAAGAAAGAAAGAAGAGAATAGAAGAATATAGAAGAGAAGATAGAAGAATAGAAGAAAGAAGAGGTAAAGAGGAAGAGGTAAAGAAGAAGAGGTACAGGATAAGAAAGAAAAAATAGGAGGTAAAGAATAAGAGGTAAGGAATAAGAGGTAAGGAATGAGAGGTAAGGAATAAGAGGTAAGGAATAAGAGGTAAAAAAATAAAGAGGATGAGAAATTGATCATTATGAGATCTGTTCGGAAAGTATCCGACCATGTTGATTATCTCGCCATGAACGGTTGATAAGAGCTTGAGGCTTGGGATCATCTTGGCAAGGACGCTCCTGAGAGCAGGAGCGTCCTTGCCAAGATGATCCCAAGCCCCAAGCTCTCGTCAACCATTGATAGCGAGATAATCAACAAGGTCGGATACTTTCCGGACAGACCTGTTACACTTACGATTATATAATTTGAAAATAAAACCACATGCACCCGCCACCAAAGCACATGCACACGCCACCAACCCACATGCACCCGCCACCAAAGCGCATGCACCCACCACCAACCCACATGCACCCACCACCAACCCACATACACCCGCCACCAAAGCGCATGCACCCACCACCAACCCAAGTCAGTCATAGTCAGTCGGCCACGGGCTGAAACGAGTTCGGTTCCCGACACAAAAATGGTAAAAGGAGTTACCGAGCCATTCCTCTGCCTCGTAACCGCCGGCTCAGGGCCGAAAACAGCCCTGAATGGCAGCTACAAAACACAGGAATTGTTCGGGAACGCCGTTCACCATCCCTCTCGTGTCGCGGACGCGAACTCGCTTCTTCCCGTGGCGGGCAACCATGCTCGAATAAAAATAGTGACAGTGAGTGAGCCGAATGAACACACACACTCAGGTTGGCTGCATGCTCATGAAGCGTGAGAAAGCACCCACGCTTCATGACCACTCGACCATCCTGAATGCACGCGAATTCGGGACACTCGGTGTCACTATTTCTACCCGAGGTAGCAGCAGTGGACCCAAATGTGTTTCAATGGCCACCGTCGGCGGGTCATTGCCGGCTGGTCTAGGCGGTCCGCAGACGCGGCCCCTACTCGTGCGACCACGTGGTCTGCCAACGGTCGGGTTGAGACGACCTGCCGGACGATCCGTCGAGCATTCCGTGGGATGGCATTGCCACCGGCCTACCCTCCACTTCCAGGCTGAGGTTGCTAGCCCCTGGAAGCGAAGTTCGGTCGGTGGAATGCCGTCCCACGGAGTGCTCAAAGGACCGTCCGGCGGGACGTCCCCCCGAACGTCGGACAGACCACGAGGGCGCACTTTTACCGGATCTGGCGGCGGCTGATCGTTGTTGTACGCTACGGCCGTGAGAGCAAGTCGCTGCAGCAGTGGAACTATCAAGGGGCCCGCTTAAAGAGCACTCACCCCAAGGCCCGAGTCGCGTTCCCTTTGGAGCGCAGCACGTAGCCGCGCTCCATAGAACGTGACTTCGCTTTTGGACTACATTTTGCAATTAGGAACTATAAATTCTAGCCCGGTTTAAAAACAACGTATGTGCCTTTCTTTACCCTATGCACATACGTGTTTTTCCAGAAGAGCCAGAATTTATAGCTCCAGATTGCAAAATACAGTCCTTTTCATGCTCACCTCTTCGGGCGTGCTTGTTAGGCACCCACCGTTGAGAATCGACGGGAAAATGAGTTTGTTCAGAAGTTTCCCGGGATATTTTTTTTTTTTTTTTTTTTTTTTTTTTTTTTTTTTTTTTTTTTTTTTTTTTTTTTTTTAACCTGCTTTCTTAAAGATATTTATTTATTTATTTTTTCTAAATAAATAAATATACTTTTTGTAACGATATTGACCCACGAACTTTCGCTTTCTCGGCAATAAAAAGTACTCAGCTCACATTGTGCAACTTTAATTTTTTTTTTTTTTTTATTTTATAATGAAGTTAATATCCTCCTGAAAAATGTTTGTGAGATAAACGCGCTCTCGAACGAGCGCTCACTGAACAAGCTCATGATAAAAACGAAAGATATTGCAAAGGAGAGGGGAGGAAAGAATGGTGAAAAAGATGTTAGTTGTGACGAACAAAGTAGGTCCCTTTAATTTCGGTCAAGAGAAGTTTTTTTCCTTCGATTGTTTGGTTTGAATTCAGTCAGATTTAATTTTACTTAATTCGTTGCTCCGTTCCTCGATCGTTAGTCATTCATGAGTACGGAATGGCATAAGCGTATAGTGGCATAGCGTTTTACCCTTTGTTTATTTATTTTGAATTCAAAGCGTAGTTTTTTCCCTTCGTTTATTTAGTTCGAATTCAGTCAGATTTAACTGTACTAAATTATTTGTTTCGTTCTTCAATCGTTAATCATTCATGAGTACGGAATGGCAAAGCTAATGTTTTAAAGTTGAACCCTTGCAATGGAACTGATCCGCGAGATCATTTGCGATCGTTGGACGAAGAGATAAAAGACAATGAAAAATTGAATAATATTCAATAATCATTCAGTAAGTCCGATGTCACAAAATTTTAGCACTCGCAGATGTTCGTTATGATCAAAACTTCGCTGGAATCGCAGAATTGACTACTATCTTATATCAAAGATATTTTTAGAAAACAACTTACATGAACAAGAAAAACGTATTCAGGCTTTGTTTAACGGTTAAAAATACACCCAGAGGACAGAACAGAACATTGACTACGATTCTAAGGGTAAGTACATACAAACGTAGGGAGTAATCTGAAGATACAAGAGAATCATTGTTTTAACATCTTTACAAGGTCATTTACAGGCTCGCAAGCATGGTTGTTCACTGGTATGAAAAGACTCTTGGATCTAGAGTCCATGACTCTTAAAAAAATTTACGAGAAGAAATACTCTTGATTTAATCTTTTTTTTTTCTTTAATCAAAATGAAATCCGCTTCAATTAAGAGGCTTGGCTCTCGATTCAAGCTAAAATAAGAGGCTGGACTCTGGATCCGAGGGACTTTTTTTGACAGTGTTGAAAAATCTATTGTGCAGTTGTACAAAAGAGAGAAGCAACGTACACTCAGCAATGGCGTGGCGTGGATTGCGATGTATCGATTGTTATGCCATTTAAACCTATGGTGAATAATCGATTATTAAGGTGTTCGCTGCGAACACCCTGTTTATCGATCTGTTTCCACAGGTTTAAATGGCATAACAATCGATATATCGCAATTCACGCCACGCCACTAACACACAGGTCTAATTAGACCTCAAAGATTTTTCTTTTATAAATGGTAAAGTTAATACGGGACTTTTATACTTGAAAAGTCGACTCGAAGTTGAAGGGACTCGTCCCTTCGGGAAGGGGAGGGGGAGGGGTCTGTCTTTAGCTTGTAAGGTATTACGAGGAGGGGAGGTGGACTAAAAAAAGTGGTCGAAATGCTTTACGCAATACTTGACCAACCCTTGAATAGATCACACGAAGTAAAGGGAATCGTAGTTCATAAATTGCTAATTTCCGAATTTCAGCCTATGCTGAAATTCTGGTCGCAATTTCTATGAATTTTACTATGTTATTAATTATTTCGGTCCTGGTAACAATATTGCATGGTTCCTGGGACGGAAATAATACTCAATACCGAAAAATATGTTCTACTGACATGGCAATGTAAGAGCTACGATTTCTTTTTCTCCGTTCATTGCTCGGAAAAGATGGCCTTTACAAAAGGCAGCGACACGCTCAGGGCTCACATCGAAAATGTTGATGGAAACATAATTCCCAATCGCTAAGAGCCAAAGGACTGTAACCAATATCTTAGGGAGAAAATAAATGTATTAATGGCAAGCTACATCAAACTTGCTCACTGGTAAAAAGTTTTACCA